CTCATTTTCCATTTAGACCCTTTTGCTATTGCTCTATTGCTATCATGGAGAACACAAACCATTGCACTTCTAGGTGGAGGAGAAAAGAGTTGGGGTTCCTAGAGTGCATATTACACAAGAGAGGGTCTATAGTACTAATTGTGACTAAAGTTTAACTTCAGTGGATCCAAAATATTTCGGGGAATATATCTTAAAACGGTAATTTATATGGAAAAATTATGGCCCAGCCTAAGCATGATTAGTGCAGTTCTTAAGAGATGGCCTCATGGACTTGCGAAAACAGAACAAAAAATATACGTATGAAAGAAACGTTAATTTAAGAAATAAAAGAAATAGGATGACAGTTGTGGGATTTGAACCCACGCTCTTTCGGACCAGAGCCTAAATCCGGCGCCTTAGACCACTCGGCCAAACTGTCATATTCTCATAGTGCTTAGGCAAAGCCCTGCGCGGATCACTTCACCATCACGTCACCACGCCGTCGTGCTGACGAAACTCATCTACTTCCTCGACACTCTGCTGGATCAAGAGTTCGAGGGATGTCATCAAGCTGAACGTGTGCAGAACTCGGAGGTGTCGTACGTTCGGTGCTTGATTGGTTGGAACGAGAAGAAGTTCGACTACATCAACCAAGTTGTCAAACGCTTCCGCTTTCGGTCTACGAGGGTACGTAGACACACTCTCCCCCTCTCGTTGTTATGTATCTCCTAGATAGATCTTGCGTGAGCGTAGAATTTTTTTTTTAAAATTGCATTGCTACGTTATCCAACACATCTTCCTTTGTTTACCCTTATCGGTATCTTCGTCAGGAGGCAAGAAATCGATCTGCCGAAACGAGGTCTAGCAACCTCTATGTTGGATAGCGAGTCGGAAAGGTCCTTCGCGAAGAGAGCATCTAAAGTTAGAGCAGGTGCCAACACAAGTGGCTCTATGGTCATGCCACTCACAGGCATCACCTGCCCAATGGTCGTAGACAAGGGAATTGCAGCAACATCTAAAGGTCGGTGCTCCATGACTCTGAGAGGTAGGCTGTCTCCACAGGGTCATAGTGATGGATTATGGATGGGCTTAGGCCCATATAAGACACTAATCCCAGGTTAATCTTGAGGCCCATGTATGCGATGGCAGGTGGTGGGAAGTTTAGTCTCACCTTGCTAGTTGAGGAGAGTTGAGACCCCTTTATAAGGGCTGCTCTACCACTTGCAATTGGGAGCTTGGGAAGAGGAGTGGTACACGCGCGCTCCTCCTCCTGCACCGCCCGCCTCGCCACGCCTCGCCTCGTCAGGACGCGCCGCGGGTTGCGGGAATGAGCCGAGCTGGAGCTTATTTTTGCCGCTCAGAAACGAACTAATTAATCAGGGATTAATTAACGAGTCGCTAACAGGTGGGCCACTGTCCGAGACGTTGGACTGTGGACTGACTTGCGTTCCCGGGATTCGTCGACTCCGTTCGCGGGTGTGCGACCCTTCTCCGGGAACGACGACTCCCTTCCCGGGAGTGCATCGACTCGGTCGTGGGCCTCCGCCAGGCCCACGACTTCGGCTCTGTCCAGTGGAGTGACCTAGTTCGGTTCACTCACTCCCTCTCGCGTAACCTAGCCGTCATTTACTGTTCCTCACTCTGTGTTGCCTCCGACGACCCCATCCCGACGACCGCGTGCACGGTTGGTCGGGAGAGCAGGTGCCTCCGGAACCCTGTCGTTCGAGATCCTGCCCGGGAGAACGGCAATAAGGTTTTTGGGGAGCGTCTCGGCACGACTGCTCCTGATCCGTCCCCAACTCCATCCGTCTCTGCTTCCACTACTTCCCCTGCATCGACACCATGGCCGACGATGCCGCAGCCAAGAAGAAGGCAACGGATGACGCCGAGGCTGCTGCTGCCGCCGCCGCGTTGGCCTGGCCAACCGGAGGGTATGATCTGTTCATCCCTCGTTTACTCGTACATGTGCTAGCCGTATATGTGCTGCTCATAGATGGTTCACTTCTATGTTCTATACGTGCTAGTATGCTTAGGTATCGCTATGAGATGCATACCGTATTTACCATGCTTACTGTTTACTCGTGAATTAGTCTAATCGGAAAAGTGCTAATATTTCCAACACATAGTGGTCGTAGTTTCTACAGACGATTGACATTTTCTTTCACGCAAGATAAAAGAGTGCTTTTCTTTTCCCAATTCACCACGCAAGTGGTTTAACCAACGTTTGGACTAGTGTTGTGTACTAGCTCTTCATGGTATACTTGCGCCATGATATGTTATAGTTTAACCATGCCAATTTATATCTA